ACATGGGTTGTGGGGCACAGTCATGGGGTATAGGTCGTGGGACACGGGTTGTGGGGCACAGGCATTGCTCGTTTAGTGAGGTTCTGCACAATCACAGAGCGTGCACACTTACCATTGCCGACCCTCCCTCCGAGTCACTCTTCCCCGGGGTGGGTTCTAGCCCCAGTGGTCTGTGGTGACATCTCTGTCACCCGAAGTGGAAACGGTGTTGCCAGAAAGTACCCTGGGTCATCTCAGCCATGCAAGTTCCTGGCTGTCGGTCAGGCATCTGCTAGATGAAAACCACAAACAGAAGGGGTCCAGAGTGGCACCTTAGCTGCTGGAGACTGTTTACAAGTGTTGGGTAGAAGATGAAGCGCCTGACGGGCTTGTTCAGGGGAAGCTGGAAGCTGCTGGGTGAGTTACTGAGTGGCCTCGAGGACAAGCCAGGTGCTGGGGGGGAATGGTGTGGCGTCGAGCAACCCTTAGCCAAGAGGCGGCTGCGGGGCCTCTGTGGGGTGCTCACCTCTCTGTGTGTGGGCTCACAATTGCTGCCCCCACCCCACTGGGCCTGTGAGCAGATACGCTGCAGACTGGTTTGGACTGGTGAGTCCGGGTGTTCGTGTGCTGATGGGGAGCAGGGTGAGCAGGGCAGCAGCAGAGCCAGCTCGTCTTAGCTGGAGAATGTTCCGGGGAGGGATGGAGAATAGTCACGTTGAGTGAAGAAGGCCTTCAAAAGGCAGTCCCACGCTACAGCCACACCTCATCAGAGGGTCTTTGTTTGATTGTCGTGCGAGTAGTAAAGATGAGTCAGTTGTGAGGACATGGCTTGAGAGGTTTATTTTTATATAGGAGAAGCGTGCGTGTGTGTCCTGCTTACTGTATGCTGCCTAAATCACACCTGCGTGTGGGCAGCCTCTGAGCCGTGCTTCACAGCTGTGTCACTGAAGGTGCCGACCTGATGCCAGTGGGCCCAGCCGCCAACCTGGAGCCACAGGAGCTGCCGTGCGGCTGCCTCAGGGGCCTGGAAGGGCGCACGTGGACTCCTCTCTAATTTGTGGGATGACTTTTGTGGTGGTTGATGTGCAGAATCCCAAAGGACAGCTGCTGTCTTGGGTGGGGAGGGGCTGGATCTTGGGAAGAGTCCCCTTGCTCAGACGGGCTGGATGAATGCAGCCTACTTGGAGACGAGCGCGGCCTCTCAGAGACGAGATCGCGGCCTGCTCAGCAGTGAGATTGTGGCCTGCTCAGAGACGAGATCGC